AATTGCTGTTTTCTCCGTTTTATATGGTTGTAATTTTAATATCTCTGGATTATGGACTGTTCAACAAAACAAGTGATTTGATTTTGTCTCCTCAGGCTGCAGGAAATTGTGTTGGACATTTTTTTTCAAAACCTTTTATGGACTATGATGATAAAATAACAAATAATTAAAAGCAAATTAAGAGATTGATTCATTGCTAATAAAAATAATAATTAGTTAAAGGCCTTAACAAATCTGATTATAGGAGGACCTAATCCTCTTTAACTTTAAACAGAGTCTTTTGTTTATCCTTTAGAGTGAGTACACAGGTGCAGTTCTTCTGTATTTATACTTTATGTTTCATGAAATTGAACATTTGAAGAGTTAATGTATGATATCATTGGTTTTATAAGACGTAGAGGCAAGCATATTGAAGAAAATGTAAGTGTTTTTATGCTTCTAAAACCTTCCTGTTTCCAAAATAGATGTTAAAATGTTATATAAATATATATATATATATATATATATATATATATCCTTTATTTAACCAGGTAAAAGAAATAACTTAACGAAATGATTTACTATAACTGATAATATTAATGATAATCGTCCCTGCAGAACATTGCTACCTTTGACTTCAGAATCTGAAAGTTGTATTTGTTAATCAGATTTGTCCTCATCAGGTTTCTCATCAGTCTTGTATTTTGGGGGGAGGACAGGGAACATCAATGTGAAGTTTCTCAATTCTTTTGAGATGTAGGTTTAACAAACCAGACACACAAGTATTGATGTCAAAGGTGTGTTTGCATTTCACAATGACATGAGATATAAGAGGATTACATGGCTCATGAATATGGCCCGTTTCTATCCCGTTCTTTTGCTATCAGACATCTTCATCTCTATCCATAACAGCCTGTCGAACGGCACAAAGACTGATGTGCTCGTCTCTGAATACCTCCGATTTAATTTCAGTTAAGAAAGAAAATAAAAATGTTGTCTGATCTGCTGAAAATAAGTGTGTGTGTGCCTGTGTGTGAGTGTGTGTGGTCCTTTCACGAGCAGCTGCATCTCACAAAAAGAGCAACTAGTTTAAAATCTATTTGTATGTCACATAACGCTGTCAGTGTGTATTCCTTGAAACAACAGCAGAAAGAGGTGATGATTGCTGAATATCACCTTGTCAAAAACCTCACAGATGTATGGAGGTAGGTGATGCTATTTATACTAAACAAAGACACAATAAACAACACACTTGTATTTTTCTCCACAATTGACATCTTCAAAAGTTCAGTCAAAATCACCAAGGTGTTAATCTTCACCACAACACCTGGTTATTTGTATCGAAACATCAAGGATTTGCAGTCAGTGTTAATTGTGAGAGCCCATACGAAAAGCTGTCCACATGATGATAAGACCATTTTCCCGTGTCACAGCCCAAATATATAGGAGAGTTTTCCTTCACCGTCCTGCCTTTAAAACAGGCTGGCAGGTAAAACAATCAGGGCCAGCCTGCACCGCGCCCGGGCTTCGTTTGCCATTGATTTATATCTTAAACAACCTCTCCTGGTGCTTCCACTGCTAAAGGTGAGACGCACAGCCAGTGTTTGTGACAGAGATGGACTAGGTGCGGTGGCAAGAGAGAGAGGGATGATGCGGTTTTTAAAAATGCATCACCATTAAATCAAAGAGTAACCTTGAATGAGTTCAGGCCAGTGCTGGCATGGTGACACGCTCTGCCCTCAGCATTCGGTGCCACGGAGCATGCCAAACAGCGGGGAGAGAGAGAAAGCTGCAACGCGGTGATACAGGTTAGAGCGGTGGTGCTGGGTAGCAGGCCAGCTCCACGCAGACCAAGGGCACTCACACTGACATTTTGTCCAAGTTTGAGCTCAACATGTTGGAGACAAACGTATATAGTCTGAGAGACGGTGATGTCCTTGCAAACTGCCTTGGCAAAGTTGACAACAAAACCTTGTTATCACTTGAACTTGTGAAAAAATGTGTGCACAGATGGTGCAAAAAACAGTTCAACATTTGTGATACCTGAAGTTTGACTAAAACCTGCTCTGACCTTTTTCTCTTTGTCTCATACTCTTGCTTATATGTCCAATAAAAAAAAAAAAGACAAGGGTTTAGGGTAAAGAAATGTTTCCATAATGAGAAAATACCTAATGTGAATATGAGATTACTTGTATTATTCCTGTGCGCTGCAAGACAAACTCCCCAAGCTATTACATGGGTTTGAGCAGAGCAGACTACAAAGCATTAGAGTGTAGCCTAGAGGAGGACAAATTAAACCCCACTGGTCCTTCAGCTACAACAGCTGAACTTTACATATTACTCGCTCATGCAGATTACTAAATCAAGGAACTACATTTATTTACGCTTTTTAATAAAGCACTAAAGCCTCAGAGGAATTTTTCTTTTATTAAGACGCCTGGTAAAATGGCTGTGCAACTGCTGAGTCCCTCTAAAGTACCCATATTTCCAGTAAATAATGTCTTCTGGGCTGTTATGGTATACATAAAACAGTTGCCGGTGCATGAGGACAGACTGAAGTAGTGTGCATATATTAGACATAAAAATGTGTTGCAACATCCTTTTAGATTAGATTTCTGGGCAGAAAACTATTTGCGGTATATAACTTATTTTTAAATCTAACTTCCTCTCCACTTCTCCCACATTCATTGAGACATGTCATCCATCTATCTCGGCCTGCGGCTGCAGTAGTTCCTCGACCATGAGTGGCTGCTGCAGCGGGGCTGTATTTCAGCATGTTGAAGTGCATGGAGAATTCCCATGAAGGGTAAGGGATTATGGATTTTGGCCTCTAAGCTGCCTGGATGCCCAGTGAGGATGTCTCTGAGCGTAGTAATCTTCAAACACCACGCAGAGTGATGAGTGGGCACTGAGGACTTCTACTCAGGATCTAAATGTGTTCCAGCAAGTTACTGGTGAGAGAGAGAGAGGGATAGAAAGCGAGAGAGAGAGAGAGAGAGAGAGAGAGAGCGAGAAAGAAAACACCATTTGGTGCAGAAATGGAAAGGATCGACGCAGTGGCTCCTTCAGGCGAAAAGAGACACTTTTGATCCTGTGACCCGTTTTTGAGCTATAGTGTGTGTCGAAAACTCGCGTCGAGCAAGGGATCACATTGGAGTGGTGCAAATGTAAATGTCATGGTTCTCCATCACCACACATAACTGCGAATGGAACAAGTCAATTGAGCAATTTTTGGGGTCAGGTCGGGCACTCTCCGGGGGCTGCAAACCTTCATAATGAGGGCACACTCAAGTCTGGTTTAGACTGTGTGTCCCAGAAAATGTGCTTGCCAATCTGGCATGAGATGGTGTACAGTTTGAGAATGAAAGAGGAGGCTCTGAAATACAAATAACATCTCACAAGCGAAGCACAGAACAAAAAGTAGGAGTAAGGAAATGTCAGAGAAAATCAATAGTGACGCACGTCCCTGATCAATATCAGAAAGGAATTTCTCTGACTCGGACTTGATTGAATTAAACCCCCAACAGCATCACTTAATTTAAGGCCCTGATTGTTTTCCTGTCTTATTTAAGTGAACTCAAATGGCTTTGATACCATCTTGAATGTGGAGATAAGGTGGGTAAGTGCAGGAGGGGGATCAGATGGGGTGAAGGACACCAGTCTTTATGGAGATTATATCCTCTCTTCAAGAGACGCGTCTACCTGCTCGTATCACAAGCCTTGATATGCAGTCAGAGGTCAGGGATGGAAATATGCCCAGGCATGCTGGAGAACTTCCTTTGGCGAATCGGACTTTATTACGGTACTAAAAATGCAAAATCACCCACTGTAAAAAACATGCGTGTTTCCGTGTTGCACAGAGGGTGCAAGCAGCTGTATGATGCAGCAAGTGACCTCAGGCTGTTCAAGGATCAAAGGCTTCAACAATCCTTTGGTGATAATCAAATTAAGTCTGCAAAGCTCAACATAAAAAGCATTTTCCAAATATAAATACACATACCGCTCTTTACACGTACTCCAGTTTACTGATCAGTTAAATTGTCTGCATGCTGCTCACACACTCCTCCTGACAGTGCAGCACAAATACTGTCCAAGGCAACAAACAGGTACATCAATTTGGAGCATGACAAGAAATTCCCTTTAGGTGACAACAAAATGTACATGCTATTAGATCAGCTGCAGTATAGTGTGATGAAATAAATTGAAGCCAACAGATGAAAGCTCGGGGGCCTCACACGGGAGAGAGGAGACTATTAAAAGGTGCACTTCCCTTCTTTTTATGTTACACTGCCATCCTTTGGACGGATACAGAACTAAGCACCGCTAGAGGTTTCATGAGCTGAGTGATGGTGGTCTGCACCAGGCTGCTGGAGAAACGGGATGTTGCAATTTTGTTGCAATTAGTAATTAATTGAAGGAGTTTAATTTACCATTGTTTGAATATGGATGATTGCTTTACTACTATTTATTCTGGTATATGATTGTATAGTGCTCTAATGACAATACTGCCACTCTTGATACTGTATGATGACAGCTATTTGAAGTCATGTACCATTTGCTTTATTTAGCTTTAACCATAAATGATTATAATCTTGTACCTTCTTTATCTATCTGTGCCTAAACAGACACTATACTGAGGGGTTAATTAAATGCTTATTTTATTGTAGGCCTATCTAATTTACATAACGTATAATTTTTTATTTTTTATAATTCTTATCCGATTGAATTTTTCTCAATGACATCTTCAAATGTCCTAATGCTAGTTTGTACTAGTAAAGCAAGGTGGTTTAAAGAAAGTAGATTATTATGATTATGATTTTATTTTTTATGTCGGATTATCATTATTGTTTTGCTAGTCCACAACCGCACGAGACAATCAGTGTTTATATTAGTAATATCTGTTTGCACGAGACAAACATCTGAACGTGATGCGCGCGGAATCAGGGGAGCGCCGCTGATGACGTCAGTTGCATGCAGAATTGAATGAGCAGCTGTGTGTACACACACACACACTACAGCAGGGCCTACATCCAGAGCTGCAGCGCGAGCAACGATGGCAGGAATATAACGACATTTCATTTAATACATATGATCAGGTACGTGTGTGATATTCCCTTATTTTCTGATTTGATATGCTCATTTATATCGTGATATCTAAAGGCGACGCTTCGTGTCCGTTCAGTGCGCTACAGCAAACCAGGCGTTGTGTTTATTCTGGTGCGGCGAGGATGTATTGTACTCGTATTTATATAGGCTACGTCATTATGCGCTGGTTCATTTACCTCTAAGTGCATATTAATCTAAAAGCATTTATTCCTTCCTTGTTATTAAGGTGGCGCGTTCATCGCATCCCATCATCACATTAAAATGAGTCGTGATGACGCGCGAGCTGTTTGTAAAATAATTCATTATTCATGTCAGCTGATGGACGGCAGGGTTTGCACTTCTGGAAAACATCCGGTTACTTAGTCAATGTTTTCAAATCCTCCCTCAAAAGCTCGGTTGTGAAATTGTCTCTGGTTAATTAATGGTTAACACACCAGGGAGGAATGGTCGAAATACAAAATAAACCTCAGTCACACCTTGTTATGAGTCAGCCAGTGAGTTTGAGTCTCTTGCTTAAGGTGTTCAGAGGTGGAATAAGTACATATATACTAATTGTTGAGGTACTTTCCTTTGTAGTTTCCTTTTGAAGCTACTTTATACTTCTACAACATTATTTTCTTCGCTTTAACTGACAGGTTGTAACTTTACAATATTGATTTAACCAAGTATCCATCATATTCTGCAATGTACAAAATTAGACACAAAAAAAAAACAAGCTGCAATTGATTTATAACAATAAGCGTTCTGCTGAGTTTTGTTTGCTCAACATTTGGCAAAAGAAAACAAAGTGTTACCACTGACCCTGGTACCCCGTTCCTCACTACATCTGCTATCCAGAAGCTATTTCATCCACTCCGCTTTCTCCACAGGAAATCTGCAAAAAATGGAGAGAGGACATTTGTGAGTACATTTAAACTTTTGTGTTCACACTATTTTTCATACCAATCCATGAGGTTATACAGCAACAGTCATAACATTGGTTCATCCTCTGTGTCATTGCAGTGGCTACTCCCAAGACTATCTTGACCGCTTTATCCAAAGCCAAGACTCGTCTGTTGTGAACAAGTTCCAGCAGAAGTACTGGAAGACAAAACAGACGCTCATCAAGGTCACCGGGAAGAAAGAGGACGAACATGTGGTTGCGTCAGATGCAGAACTGGACGGCAAGCTGGAGGTGAGGAGGAATATGAAAATGTGGTAGTTTTACTAAGTGACTAAGGGAACAGAAAGTCAGGCCGCAGTCGCATCACAGAAACATTAAGGCACAGTGGGGAAACTTCCCCTCAGGCACTCTGCAGTGACTTAAATGGCTTTTTGATTCACACTATGCTAGGATTAGCTTGAGGCTTAAAACGTACATTAGGCTGCCTGTCCGACCGCCATCATCTAAACCTCCATTTCAGGAGCGAAGTGAGTTTATGGCTGAAATCGATAGCTTATAAAAGCTGGGAAAACAGCCTTAATTTAGGGCAGGGCCTCGATGAGCGCTGTGATAAACTCAAATAACTTCATGTTTTTAACCTTTATGTGGCATTTTAATACTTCTATTTTTACCTCATAAAAGGCTTTAGGTTGCTCGAATTCACTTGTAGATTGAAATCCTTGAAGTATTATAGATTTAAGGTGACATCTGTGATCATCATATTCAGGCAATGTACTACACAACTTGCTAAACTGAGCATTACCCCCACAATTATCAGGCATTTTGATTTTATGCTGATTTATTTTCACCCACAGGTTTTTCACTCCGTCCAGAGAACATGCATGGAGCTGCTAAAGGTCATTGAGCAGTACCAGAGGAGGATATGCTGTAAGTATTTGCTCAAATAGAAAATGAATAATAAAAGTATGAACTCTCAACAGAGTGCATGCAAGCCCATATTCCATAAACATCAGTGCTCCATGAAATGCTTTGTTAAAGTGCTTTAGCATGTAAATATGTTATTATATTATTAACATTTTAACTTCAGACACAAAAACATAAATATATCTGTTCCTACCATCTCTACTATGCAGTCCTTTCCCAAGAGGAGAACGAGCTGGGACGCTTCCTGCGCTCCCAGGGCTCGCAGGATAAAACCAGAGCTGGAAAGATCATGCAGGCCACGGGGAAGGCTCTCTGCTTCTCTTCCCAACAGAGGTAGGCAACATGTGTACAATTGTGAGTACATGAAAGATGTGTAACACACATCCAGATCATTTACATAAAAGCTCCAGCTGCACTAGATAAAGTAAAGGTCAGTCATTTTGGTAAACTATCACCCAAAAATATGGTGATGTTACTGAAAATATGGAGTGTTTTAATTGCCCAGCTGTGAACCCAGAGTTAGTTATGTTAGGAAACTTCAGCCCACAGGATTCGTATAATAAAAAGATCAAAGCAGAACACGTTTCCTCTACAGCAAAATGATTGGAATTATTTGATTGCTGTGCCACACCCTGCTAACTGAAAACAATGAATCGAAACAACCACACCTAATGAATCATAATACTCAAGTGTAACATTTTCAGGGTCATACCCTTAAAATACAAATGTAAACAAATCTTATTTTCATTAAGAGCATTGGTAGCTCTTATGTTCTGCTAGTGATTTGGTTTATCAAATGTAAATATAGTAAATATTACTACTTTTCCTTTGTTTAGAATGTACTTTGTGTCTTTACCAAGAGGGATAAACACCATTTGGTTTAACTGATTCTTCAAGGGGTCTATGATTGACTTTACTATTTAATTTTGCCAGACGCCCCTGCTGGGGTTGGAAAAGCCTTTCCCCTTGTGGCTTCAAATGATTCAGCAGGCTTTACTATGAACTATAAAAGGTCAAAATTGAATTCAAGATTGTTGAGGACATGAGATATGATCAACTAATGTCTAAAACCAAGGTTGTAATGATAATGTTAAACTACTCGCGTGCTTTAATTGAATACTTCATTTACACTCTACATCCTTCACAGATTGGCCTTGAGAAACCCTCTGTGCCGCTTGTACCAGGAGGTGGAAACGTTTCGCTATCGAGCGATCTCAGACACGTGGCTGACGGTGAACCGGATGGAGCAGTCCAGGACTGAATACCGCGGAGCGCTGCTTTGGATGAAGGACGTTTCACAGGAGCTGGATCCGGATACTAGTAAACAGATGGAGAAATTTCGCAAGGTTTGTCTTAGGACAGGAGGAAGAGTCAAAGGTCAGACAAATTGGCCTTTTCACAGCAGACATTTTCATATTTTAAAATGGAAATCACAGATGTAACTAAGAAAATTGCGTTTCATGAAGATTTGCTTTTTTTTCCAGTTTTCCAATGACGTTATTAACGTTGCTTTCCTACTATGACAAATCAATGTCTGATGTGAAAAACATTTATCTACCTGGGCAATCGCTCTTCAAGGTTTTTAGCCTCCACAGAGTCATGAAAACAGAAATTCAATTCAATTCAAGTTTATTTATATAGCCCAATATCACAAATCGTATTTGTCTCAGAGGGCTTCACAAATCAACAAACACAATCGACAATGTAAAAGCAATGTAAAAACAACAAACATATCTTACAAGATACATGTGAAAATACCAATGAAAAAGGTACATAACACACAAATACAGTTAGAGTACAATAATTAAAATTCCATAAAACGAAGTGATGTCAGAAACCTGCCAACACAGTGTGTGAGAGAAAGATAGCATATTCTGTCTGCTCCAACAAGCCATCTGCTGTAGGACTACCCATTTGTATCATTAATTAATCTGTCAATTATTTTTTCAATTAAATATTCGGTCTAAAAAATGTCAGGAAATATTGGAAAATGTCAAAGGAGACATCTTCGTATGTTGTATGCTTGTTAAGTATTTCAAATATCACCAGCTAACTGAGTAATTGACTAATCGTTTCAGCCATAATTTGCTGCAGTTCCTAAGGCCGCACAAACAGCACAAAGCAGGAAAAATAAAAGTGAAAAACAGCCACTAGAGGGCGCAACACACCATCCAATGCTGGTCTATTGACCAATACCACTGTATCAAGGACCCAGCATGCTCTTTTCTGCTGACACTTGCACAAAAGTCAACTCCACATTTTGTGTTTTCACAGTTTGACCCCGTGTGATACATAATACTGGGTTCTTATCTTCAGTTGGGAAATGTTCTTATCTGTTTTATCTCAGGTTCAGGCCCAGGTGCGCACTACAAAAACAAGCTTTGACAAATTGAAGACCGATGTCTGCCAGAAAGTGGACCTGCTGGGAGCCAGTCGCTGCAACCTCCTCTCTCACGTCTTAACCACATATCAGGTATACCACAAATCCCAGCTGTTTGCATACACTCCACTGATCTTGAATAGGGTGTTTTCAAAGACTGTGCCACATGCGGTTAAGCCAGGAAGGAAGACAAACATGAAGGGAACAAAGACAGTGCATTGGAGATGTAACTGTCAGACACAAGGATGTGAATCACTGTTTCCTCTGTTTTCAGACAACACTTTTGCACTTCTGGGAGAAGACATCCCACACTATGGCAGCCATTCATGAAAGCTTCAAGGGCTGTCAGCATTATGAGTTCTCCACTCTTAAGGTCAGAGAACGTCTTGACCTGAGCAGATAAGACCTAAATTCAGACACTTAAGTTCTCAAGAATCAGCAACTAACCATGATCAGCGACTTTCTTTCAGACCTTACAAGGCCCCATGGACAAGATCGCTAAGAAAAAAGGGAAGAAGAGAATTAAAGCAGTGGCTGAAGATGGAAAGAAAGCAGAGCCCACAGACGACCAGTGAGTAATCACATCCTGATCTTTCCTCATGCAGGTAGACCAAACATGTGCATAACGACAGGGACATCTGAGGATCTGTTTATAAACACTGAACCAGCCTGGAAACAGTATCTTACCCAACAGCTGCTTTCTGTATGGGTCAAATGTTGTGAACTGATTTGATGTCATCTTTACAGACTCATCTCATTAGAGAATGAAAACGGCGATAAGACCAGAGAAGGTAAAACACAATGCTACCAAATCTATGTAACTGCAATATGTTTTAGAGTATTACATTATCTGGAAATAAACTGCAACTAACAATGATTTAACGATCAGTCTATAAAATGTAAAGCCCAATTTGATGCTTTAAAGTTGTTTGTTTTGTCTGACCAACAGACCAAAACAATAAAGATATCCAGTTAACTTTAATAGAGCAGTAATATAACAGTCAAATAATAACATTTGATAATTTAATATAGGTAACTTTTTTGACATTTCTACCTAAAAAATAACTATTAACTATGAATGTTATGCCAATGAACTAATCAGCTCTTTCTCATTAAGACATATCAAGATTAATTTAACACCTATGCCCCCAATGTACAAATGAAAGCACAGCATCGCATACTGTAGATAGTTTTGGGCGAGAATGAGACACAAGTTAATGCAGCCAATTAACAGAGAAATGTTCTGTAACATCACCATATTGTTATTGCTTACATACTCTGACCACTGTGTCTGATCATTATAGGGCATGGAGATAGTCTCTCTGCCTACTTAGAGTTCGAGGGAGAGGAGAAGGACAGCATGGCGTTGCTGAATGAGATCCTGGGCAGTACGTCTGTGGACGAGGGCGACTTCTCCAGAGAGTGGACCGAAGTGTTTGGAGACATGGAGGAGGGATCGAGCGCAGCATCAGGCACAGCAGCCGAGGCTCAGCAGAAGGAAAACTCCTTCTTTCTACCCTCTCATTTATTGGACCAGAGCTTGAATAATCTGCAGTCTTCCCTCTCAGGTCAGAAATTCAACTTTGTGTGCATTTGGGCTTGTGTGAGTCAGAGAAGAGGGACATGTTGGGCTTTTTGTATCTGAAGGACTACTTGTGGTTTTCCCCATCAGAGCGAACTGGCTAAAACATCTCACCTAGCAATCCTTATCCTAAATTAATTATGAACTTATATATTACTGAAACTAAATAATAAGCTATATTGTTTTACCATGAATGAGTGCATTAACCAAAATAGCTACTTATCCCATTGTAGCAAACTATTTCCACAAATGGAAAAGAGTGGATTTAAACTGATGCATGCCACATCTGTCAATGTGATAGAATAAGGCTATGACAAACTGGCATATAGATTTGCTTAACTGTAGGTAATTGCCAACTACTTTCCATTTCCTGTGGGCCTGGGCAATGGCTGCTAGCACCTCATCTGGTTTTGTTAATTTGGTTGGAAGGGTTTTGAGTTGCCTCACTATGAAGACGTAAAAAACCTACAGTATGTTAGTGTGTATCCCCTGGCTTTAGTATAACAGTCACCAAGGTAGTAGTTTAGAAAGTGTGTGACATTAAATTATAGTTCCTGCATGATTTAGAGTCAGTTTTGAAGACATGCTAGGAAAAAAAAGGAACAATGGAGTTTTTTTAAGCAGGGAAAAAGCATATAGTGTTTGGGATCTGTGGCAGGCAAGATGGCAATGAGTTTTGAAAGAGAGGCTGAGAGCCCGGCTGGTCAACAAAGCACACTGAATGTAATAGTTGTTACAGATTGAAGTCCAAATTACAGACCCCAGAGCAGTCAACATCACAATATGAGGTCCCAGGAACTGTCAACAGAGTTCAATCAGACAGCATGCAAGGCAAACATCAGGCGCAAGCTAAAAACTAATTTAACACTTACAAATCTGACCTCTCAAAACGTATCGTACACCTACTGATCAACATTCAAATGAAGTTTGCTGTTCTGGGTAAAAAGTGCAGGGAAGACTTTGTTCTTGAAAACTAAATGAGGGTTTTTGCTGTTATTAAAGATATTGCAAGAACTACATTGCAGAAAGCATCACATGGGCCTGGCCTCCATTTGACCTAAAACATTAGAGCCCAAAACATGCAAATCCTTGAAAGAATCGGATTTTGATCATACAGCCCAAACAGCAAGATCGAAAGAAAAATGGCTTCAGACCAAGAATGTGAAATAAACCACAACAAATCTTCAAGGAGGAAAATCCCCAAATATTCACATGAGTCGAGCACCAGTTAGAGGGGAGCTGCATTTACACATTAAAGCTTCCAAACTAAAACTATTGAAAACATTTCAGCAGGATTTTATAGTCAAACATGTTGATGGTGTTATTCCACTCATAATTCCTGCTTCAACAGAACATGTCAATAAGAAGGGTACAGTGAAGGCAACACTAGTAGAGGGTGCTGGAGCTGAAAGTCTATATTGCACTAATACAAATAAAGGTTTCAAAAGGTTATTTAGTCCTTTAAGCCTGTTTGACTCTTTTGTTTGTATTTGGCGCATAGATTGTTTGTTACAAAATACAATAACAGCACATTCCAGCGCTCTCCCTGGGGGCCTTTAGTGTTGCTACATACTGTATTCTCTGGATCCACACAAGGATAAAAGACAAATACATGTGCCTGAAACAAGACCTCAAAGTTGTAATTGCAACTTCTGGCATGTATCTATGAATCCCCTAATATGATTTTGCAGTGATAAATGTTTATAATATTTCTGTTTGTTGGTCTATTATTACACGGTATTCTTCCACATCAGCGAAGTGTGATGATTTCTTTTGTGGATCATGCTTTGGCACGTTAAGCGTTTAATCTAAAATGTGCATCGTGTTCATTTCAGATCGGGCTGGGATCATTCCACAGCCCGTCGCCCAGGCAACGCAGCACTCATCTGGAGCCAATCAGGACCCTTCTAAGGCAGCAGTGAAAGGTAGGGCCGAGCCAAATGAGTAAAACAGAGGAAAGAAAAGATTAATTCAAAGAGACGTTTTCAACTGAAAGCTGTGATTATGGGGACTTTCAGAGTTTGTGGGTTTTTTCATTCATGGTTTCGTATATTAGCCGACGCAGTATTTAAAGGCAGGGGTTATTATTTATTTTCTTAGCCAAGGACTGCTTACAAGATAAAGAATAACTGGCAACTCTCTCCTTAATGTCCCTTGTAATAATTGTATGCAACCTATTCTTTACTGTAGTCTTAGTTATGTGAAATAACTCTTTAGAATGAAAATACATTTGAATTCGTTTTAGATTTTAAAAATATACATATTTATCGAATGATAAAGCCTCTTTGTATTAAAAAAAAGTATACATTGTAAGTCAAGGGAATGACCCTCACTGGTGTTGATATTTTCAGATGTGTGTGTGTGTGACAGTTACCCTTCTTTACTCGTTTCACAGACAAAGCGGGGACGTCAGCAGACCTCTCAGCGTGGTTCAACCTGTTCGCCGACTTGGACCCGCTCTCAAATCCAGATGCTGTTGGCAAAACTGACCTAGAGCACGAACTTCACAACGCGTAGTTATACGACCAAAACATGGTGATCTGAAATGGGTTCCTTTGTTGGTTGGTACAGCAGAATATCACTTTCACACATCCAGTGAAAAATCAGCCGAAACACACACACACAAAATGGTCTTCTCTTGAGGCATCAAGTAGACATTCTGCCAATCATGAAGTCAATTAATCAATAAACAGATAACTCACCTCAATCTCATACCCAAATATTTGTGGCGATTTACGAAATATTGAAGCAAACTTAATATATTTTTGGACAGTTGGCTAGAACACAATATAACAATCAGTGGAATAGGTATTTTCACTAAATCAAAAAAGTTAAATCTTATAATTAAAAATAAATCACTACCTTTTTGTTAAACCACATACAAATACAATATAAAAACAAACCGTTAGACAAAGAGGCAGGTACAAGCTTTCACAAAATGCCATATCATTACAGTATCTTATAACGACATGTATTTTGTTATAACAGGAGAAATGTCATAACAGGTAATTGATCAGATTGTATCTCTTGGTGGCTGTATTGCACTTCTGCAAAGTGTTCAACTAACGACTAGCAGCTGGAGTTCTTCCCATTGTGAAGAAAAGAAAGATTGACAAGCTGACCTTTTAGGACGTTTGCCTCTTCCGCTTTGGTTAAAAATAAAGGGTTATCATCGATACCTCAGTATGAGATCTGAAACAAGAAGCCTTCTACATTTGCTGCCTTGACATCTGTAGTCTCTAGTATCATGCTCCACATGTCCAGGTGTTAACGAAATGTTGCAACATCGTGAGAAAAGTTAGTGCAGTCAGGAAGAAATATTCAAATGTAAACTGATACATCATTTATTCTGCCAGCGATCGTCCTCGACTGAGAATTATTATTTTGAAATGTGTTTGCTACATGCTGTCTTTGTTAAGCTCTGTTGAAGATATTGCAGAATATATAAACATATCATTCATGTTTTACTGCATGTTGCATGTTTTATGTTATTCAGTAAGTGTCATTGAATGGATAATGTGTGTATTATTGTGAGACTTTTCATCTATTTATTTAACTCACTTGCTTAGCTCCCATTGAAAAAAAGAGGCAATTTTTAGTGGATAATTTTCAGACGCAAAGTAGACAGAAAGTTGGATAATCATGAAAATACAATCAAGTTGTTCCGATTCACATTACAATGCTGCATACATTATATGTCAGGTTAAGAGTCTTAATCTGATAACAAATAAACAATATAGAACCTCATCATTATTATAATTGGATTCCTTAGGTATATTGATATTTATTTTGGTGCAACTATGATGTTATAAGCCATGTGACGTGTTTTAATATTGAACATAAACCAAATACATTGATTGCCTTACCTTGACTCCTACTTGTACTTAAATGCCATGCTTCGAAATACTGATTCTAATTGTTGATGTGTCTGTCTTTGATAAGGCCTTTAAAAAGATGACATACCAATGCAAAGAGAGACTTTTTTTTTGGTTTTCTTTATTGAAAAACACACACACGATCTACATAAAAATGCATTGTACACAAGAGAACTGAGTCATCGTTGCCAAACATGGCAACCATTTCAACTGCACTGCACAATGAGCGTGTGAATCAAATCAGAAACAGTAGGATTAAAACTCTTCAAGCTGCAAGCAGAGGAGAGTATTTCAACGTACTTTGTGTGGAACGTGTTGCATTCTGTTCAAATGTGTGTTTTGGTGTGCGAAGGGCCGACGTTTTGGAATGAAACATTTACAAATTGTATCACTCCCATTCAAGTTCACCTGGTCTAAAATAGTCATGCTATTTTAAATAGTTGAGCATGGGCTGGTGATAAAGCTTAAGGTAACGTAAGGGCACATCTGGCTGGATCTGTATCTTGAGTCAAACTGTGTAACTGTTACACAACAATTGTAAGTGTAGCTTTACTACAAACAAAGATCAAGTGCACACTAAAGGTCTGATTGTTTTAACTTATAAAATAGTCTTAAATAAGAAATAGTGATTATCATTTCACTTCCAAGTAAGTGCTAAGGCTTCAATGATTATCGCGTTTGTTTAAAACACTTTGAACCAGTGTTTATATGTAGCTAAAATGTTTGTAAACAAAACAAAATGCACATAAACATTCTGCTTCTGGCACAGACATTGTGCCTGTTGTGTCCCAAAGCCAAGACATGCCTGTCTTGGCTTTGCAATTTGCTTTGGTACTTATTGAACTAAGGGGATAATCAGATGACATAACTGTCACCTTCTCAGTTTGGGAGGGTGTAGCTTATGCAGCTAGCTCTGCTAACTCAAGTCCTCACGGTTGACCTATGCAACAGCGTCTCTGGAATGTGTCGTTGCACCTGAAACTCTAACCTGAACAAGATAACGCAAAAGTCCTCGGTCACAAGGTGTGACACCAATTGGTCGATTCAGTCTCTAATTATCTCCCCCTCCAGTGAAAACACTAAACATTTCTGGAAAAGACTGGAATGTCTTCAGAAGGTCATACACACCGGGGAAAGGCAACATAGTCCAAGCAAATACATTCCACATGACCCGAGTTATTATTCTGTGTAGTGTGGGGCAATAAAACAAGGCAATGGGGGGGTTGTGTGCTTTGTGATTGGTTATTTGGTCAGTGAGAAACGGCTGATATTTTGTGTTGAGCTCATTAATAGTGAGCAGACCAGAAAAGCAGATCTCGGCCTGTCGGCCTGCCGGGTTGCAACGCTGAAGCAACTGCTGGTTTCACTAAGACATTGTGCTACAAATACTTTAACATAAACAAACAGGCCTGTATCATTCTGAGCCATGTCTTAACAAGTGCAAACATTGTAGTTAATGTGGGGCAATGTACTCTGACTGCAAGGCATCCTGATATACTAAATACATGAATCGTGCATGACCCACCCTGTCAAAAAGCTCACATATATGTGCTTAAGATTATCTTGCTAGCTAACATGAGTAGAATTTCTCTGATACTTCATAGCGGTCTGTTGTGATTGTTGAACATTTTTCTTTTTTTTGTAATTTAGTCTTGAAAATATTGTCATCTGTCACAATTATTATAGCAGTAGTATTTTGTTTTGCAAGGAAGGCGTAGCTGTTTTTGTTATGGGTGTTTTGTCACCGTACAGAGCAGAAGGCTAGGTTAGTGATGGGTGAAAGGAGGCGGGGCCAAGGTCAGAACACTCCTCACAACGACCAAACCACCGTGCCTGTGCAGCAGGATGCTGGTATCGTTATCCCACTTGGTGTTTGTCCTTTCTCGACCTGGACACTCCCTGCTGGCTAACGTTAATATAAGTGCAAGTTTTTTTTTTGTTTTTAGTTTTTCGATCCATACCACCTAACTATAGCAAGTGGTTTGGTTAGAGATACCTGAGAACTAGCTGGTGAGGACAAGCTGTGCTGAGCCATCTGTCCCTGCCTCTGTGTCGGGGCTCTGGCTCTCTGGGCCTGTGCTCGGGGCGCTGCTCCAGTCAGCCGAGGCCGCGAAGGTAGCTAGTGGTGCGCAGGGCAGAGCTGGGGTCACCTGAGGCCCTGGGCTGTCGTTGCCATGGAGACCGGGGGTGGCGGAGGAGCAGGACGAGGGAGAGACGGGGGAGAAGAGGGAGGTGCAGAGGAGTTTGACAGGGCAGAAGGCAGACCCCCTGGGAATGAAGTTCACCTTGTTTTTGTCGGGGCACGAGAAGAGAGGGAAGCCTTTTGATTTGCCAGACCTAAAGACAAGAGCGTTTGGATTCAATACACCTGCCCTGATCCCTGCCACCCACAATGCTAATGGGCTAGTACAGTGAACTGCTCTCTGCTTTTGTTTGTCTTCCACACAGGGTGCATTAAAAAACACATACAGATTGTGAAATAAAAAACAAGAAAAAATACTTACACCATCTCCTCGAACACTTTGATCTTCTCACAGCCCTCTGGAGGTTCCCGTTTGAACATGTAGCTGTTGTTAGGTTTGGGAGATGTGGCAAATTTGGGGAGAGGAGAACTGCACAGGCCGTCTGGAAATAAAGTAAAGAATATAATGTAAAAAAGGGAGAATAAACTGATCAATCTTGTAGCTGCAATTAACTTAGAGAAGGGCTGTGTATCACTTAAATATTTTTATACAAGTTTCTAGACAGATACACAATCAATACAGTTTTCAGTAGCTTGCTTCATGGAATATAGCGGTTCTTGTCTATAAAAACCCTTCGTAGTAAAGTAGGAGTAGTATTTCTTATTTGAAGTTGGGATATGGCTCTCATTACTGGGTGAAAGCCATCGAAAGACTCACTCTAGTTTAGTAACGGACGTTGTCTGGTTGCCGTTGTGTTTCTCTATATTTGCGTTTGCTGTGTCAGCCATATCTGTAGCTTCCTCTTGAATGCGTGATTACGATTTGGCATCCTGTCACTACGTTTTTACATGTTGGGGCCAAGAATAAATAACTGTCAAAATGATGATTTTTTTTTTTTCGGGTGGAAATGTATTGTGTGTTTGTAACTATCTGTAAGTCGTCACTTTTAGATGCATGTCAGTATCAAAAGCCTGTGACATAAGATTTTCAACAACATAATTACTCTGTAGCTATGTCAGTTTGACAATAAAGAACCTTGAACCTTGAACCAAAAGATACATAAGCAATAAAAAACTAAAAACTTAGCTCTGCATAGCCCAACAAAAAAAGATATGTATTGCTTATACTGTATGTCTTTAAAGAGCACTGCCTTGATTAAATAGCACTCTTATAACATTGTCAGAGTCATGTTTGACAGTAAAACAAACAAGGTTCCACACTTCCCACGACATTTAAACAGACTTTGTTGTGTAAACTAGTTCCCCTCTAAAGCTGCATGCAGGGCCGGCCCTGACCAATTTGCTGCCCTCGGCAAGATTTTAGCTGATTTTACAAATCACTCCCCTTTTAAACTGTATTCTTGTTTATTAATAACAACCTTTTTTTACTGTCATATAGTATTTTATACCTGTTTTTCATCTATTCTCTTATTTTTGTATAACTATAATGATCATATAAAGGTGTGCCTTTACCTCACTGAGCTGAGGTTATCAGAGCCGCTCAGTCTTTCAGGAGAGAGCTCTCCCCCCCGCGGCCGCTTACACAGTAAATTCCAATGTTAATAAAAGCACACAGAAGCTGTATACCTTTTTTGGGAGTTTGATTTATTTTAAATTAACACGAATACAAAATTAAAACCTATAATTGCACACTAAAACCATTATTTCAAAAAAAGAACTATTTCACATAAACCTGTTTTTTACTGGGGCTGGGGCAGTTCAGGGGGGGTGCGCCATAGTTTATGGGCGCTGTACGCAATATAGGCGTAGTTCTGTCAGTATAAGATAAGAAGATGTACTTTGTTGATCCAAAATCGGGAAATTGTGTTGTTATGAAATTAAAAAAGAAAGTTTTTTAAATGTCTAACTTTTTTTCTTTTTCTCCCCAATTGTCGGCACCCCCGATGGGTTGATGCGGCCTTAGCATTTGCCTATACTGCCTATGCCAAGGGCCGGCCCTGGCTACATGTATGAAACAAAAAAGGCCCACCTTTGTCCATTTCCTCTGCAGAGCAGGGGCTTCCATCAGGAGAGTGGGCCTGGTCGGAGCTGCAGGGGCGGGGCGAGGGGCTCGAGTCCCCGCTTGAAGGGGCTTGAGTGTCCGTGTCACGTGTGTCCCCGTTGCTGCTGTAGTGATGCGGAGGGAAGGGGGCGCGGCGGCCATCTACCACATCCATGGCCTGTGAGGTCAGAGTACAGGTGGTCAGAGCAGGTGGTGAGAGGTCACATGTGAGCGTGCATTGATCCTAACATGTCAGAGTGACAGTACATAGCGATTAGAGAGAACAGTAACTCAGAGTCAGACTCAATCAGCTTCAACAGGCAACGTGTCCTTGAAAACTGTTTAAGCGTTCCTGTGCAATTCCTGCTCCACAGCAACCTGCTCAGTCACTGGATGATGTCAGTCTGGGTTAAGAGCATCAGCTATAATGTCTGGAACTAAAAAGCATATAGTGTGTTTGTCTGTTTGTTTAAAGGGGCAATGGAGAAGCAAACACGACAGCAGATGGTTGTTCTTGACAGTAATTGAACAGTGTGATGTGCAGAGTTCTGCTTTGGCAAAATGCTCTCAAATGGTAGAGCAGGAAAGACAAATGGCTTGGTGCACAGCAGGCTGTAAATCTGTGCTGGTGTGTTATTTAAACAGTTTGTGTGCGCACGTGTGTCTGTGCCTTTCTAAGAGGGGAGTTTTACAGACCTGTCAAGGTTCACTACCCCACATCAGACAGGATTTACGGATGTCCTCGCCTCTAAGAGGTTTCATTCAGTATGAAGGAGAAGATGTGTGTCTTGCGGTCAGACCGTATGGTGCACGCTGCATGGGACTTTACAGGACTGCCTTTACGTGCAATAGCTTTTAAGCGTAGACTAAAAGAGCCATTTTTGACCATGAGCATATTCATGTATATAAGAGTTATGTTTGCCTGGTTTTGAGGGAAACACTTTCTCTCAGGTTTCTTAAGTCATTACAATTGAAATAAAAAGCCTGTTCCAGTGTTTAAAAAAAACCCATTACTAACATAATCAAATATTTGACAGATTCAGAGAGTTTCAATGACTGTTGACCGATGTAAAGAGCATCACACAACATCCGAGCCATGAAGCCTTGCATCAATTGGCGCCTGCAGGACATTGGAAGCAATATAGAGAGAAATAAAGGGACAAAAGCCATGTGTTGATCCAGGCAGATCATTTGATAAAAATAATGCTTTTCTGGAGAGATGCACATACCCCTCAATGTCACCTCCAAACTAAGATAAATAGAAATAAAAAACTTAAATTAGTAATTTTCTTTTGTGTTACATTATGTGTCAATTTCCTTACTAGTCGGCCTGATAACTTAGGACAGATAAACTGTGTAGGCCATATTTGTAGCCGATTTTAATTAGGCTGCATTGATTCTATTTCATTATTACATTTGCAGCGATTATGCTGTTCTATTCACCGACACATAAATACTTTTGCCGTCAGACATTCCTACTCAGAATTCCAACTATGAAGCTGCCTTAAAACAAGTTTCCCCAACTTGGCTGCTCTTTTCTAAAGTCTGTATGATGTCCCATGAATCTGAGATTCAACCCAACTGGGACCAAAGATAAGTTAAGACTTAGCTTGAAATGGAAACATTGGCTAGTGTCAAGTGAGGTGTGTAGTGAGTCGTATAAACTAATCTCACACATTTGCAGTTCAACAAGCACTTTGAATACATTTTAAATCAGCTGGAGCCATGATGGCTGCTGTGTGTGTGTGTGTGTGTGTGTGTGTGTGTGTGTGTGTGTGTGTGTGTGTGTGTGTGTGTGTGTGTGTGTGTGTGTGTGTGTGTGTGTGTGTGTGTGTGTGTACACACATCCCTACCTGTATGCCCTGCTCCCAGTCCTCTCTGATGAACACATTCTCCAGCTCGTGGCTGATGCCCTCCACACTGCTCGGCACCCTGCATATGAGGGACTTTGGCACAGGGATTGTTGACAGGGCTGATGACGTTCCTTTATACTGGGAAGACACAAACATATGAAATATTAGGATATAAATGAATAACCTTAAAAATAGAACAATTATCTTTGGTCACAACTTCTCACTTAGATGGAAAATGACAAAACAAAAGAATCTTCTCACAGTTCAAATCGATTGTTCAATGATATGTATTAAACGGCATGTGTGTTTCACTTTGGCTCGGTGACACCAATGTCGGCTTGTGATGTTTAAGTGTTGCTGATCTCATTTATGAGACATTCACCGGATGGAGCCGTTCAGTTTGAAATTGATTAAATATTGTATGAAATAAATACATTGTTGTAATCTACCACATGTGGGAATGGGGCATATATATCACTACTTCTCCCACAGAGGTTGATTTGTCCTGTTGCTGGGCTTCTGTTAATGAATGAACTGCAAACAAGCCGAGGACAGGACATGCCCGGACACATTCCCTCTCCTCTCATTAACAAAACCTCCTCAGTCATACGCAGTGCAGAATACAACATCACAGACTTGTGTTTTGATCCAATACAGACGATATACAAGACGAAAATACCTACACCTTTTTCTCAAATAGGGACTACTTAGTTATAGCATGCTGATTATCTTAAGCTTTATATACTAAACTTAAACTAATGCAGTAAATAGAAAATGTGCTTTACATTTAATTCCATCAAACGTGTAATGTGAGAGGCACCTTGCTTAACCCTGGTATGTTAATATTTATTTATCTTATCCTTAGCAGCTGAGATATGGTTTGGTCTCCATCTGTTTCATTTGTATGTGTTTTGCTTGGCTTCTCAGCAACCTTATCACATAACAGTCAGGGTTTACCTTGGATCACCAAAGTCAGGGTTAGTTCATGTTTTCACCTGAAAAGAGCATGCCAGTGACTCTGGGTGTTTCTCAATCGCGAGTACGCTTGCTTGGTAGCACATGTCTGCCGAGCATCTTGCTTCAGAAGCGAGTCAAGAATACTTCCTGGCATTCGGAAAACGAAGTGTGGAACAGCTAGCAAGTGTGCAGGTGTGCGTCATATGAGAGGCGCCGCCTTACATCTTCCGCCACAGATTTGGGGAAATTGGTCCGTGCGCAAAGCATTGTGGGGATTTTAAGACTGCGAAGTCTACTCATGTGCAGACTCGATATTTCTCCAAACGGGAGTACGCCGGGCTCGGTAGATTTCCAAGTATACTGGAGATTGGAACAGTACTTCGGCGGCACTCAATGACGTAGTATGCTTGAAATAGTGGCTCTGAAGCAGCTTTACTCGCGATTGAGAAACACCCTCTGTGTGGCGTGGTATGAATAGCTCACCTGTGATGGGCATGTAGTGCCATGCTGCACCTGCTGCTGCAGCTGCAGAGAGCTCTGCTCCCGGTCTTTGCTCTGACGGCTGACCTGCTTGCTGCGCTGCAACTGCAGTCTCAGCTTAGCAATCTGCTGAAGGACAAGTAAGATCACGTCAGAGAATTACAGGACACACCTGTCCTATCAAGGTAATATTTCAGTAACCAGGGGAATTAGAACTTTTCCCAAACGTGACGTAAATGAAACCAGAAGGTGGTAAGTACATTTGCTTCCATTTTGGGTCGCAAACAACTGTTATTTTCCTAATTAATCAACAATTGAAAAGAGTCACAATTAAAGGTGGGGTAGGTAAGTTTGAGAAACCGGCTCGAGATACACTTTTTGTTATATTCCATGGAATGCTCTTAACATCCCGATAGCAATGAATATCTTAAGTGCTTTGACAAAAAATCCATAAAAAAATGTCATCTGTGGAAGCCGTAATACTGTAAAAAGCACGACCAATCATTTTAGCCGGCCCGGCTAAAATAACTGGATGGCCTACCTGCCTGTCAGCCTTCCATCTGTGCACAAACTTATCTCGTGCCCTCATTGGTCATGTGCGTGTTGGAGGAGGGGCTCTATAAGGAAGTGGCAGATTTTTTTCAGGCGGGGTATTTTCAAATTCTAGCGCACTCGAGCTGGTTTCTCCAAAATTACCTACCCCACCTTTAACTAAAGGCTAAAGATATGTGGGGATTCGGTTTAATTAAGAATATAAAAATAAACTACAATTTTAAGACAAGAAAGAGAAAAAAAACTTGCAAATCCTCACATTTGAGAAGCTGGGACAATCAGAAGTTGCATTTATACGTTTAATCAGTTATCAAAATAGTTGCAGATTAATTGTCTGTCAATAAACTGATGTATTAATGGACTAAAAGCAGCTCTAATCCCATGTGTCGGCCTAACATTTTTTTTATTGAGGTTCCTCCTTTTTGCAGCATTTCTGGTGATGCAACTTAGGTCAATGGGTGTTTCTGGCCCAGGATCAGCCCAAAAACAGGATACCCTTTGTGAGCCTAACAGACGCAGTTGTACTATGCAGACAAAGGTGTGGTCTTCAATGCTTATCTTGTAATCCTGGCAACACAGTCAACAAAGAGACTTGCTCTTTTCACAGACGTCCTCCCACACATGTGATCGCAGAGGAGCTAGGATACAGTTCACTACATTCATTGAGTGACCGCATTGCTCGATAATGACAAGTCCAGGCAATCCCGATGTAATCTCAGAGGAAGAGAGAGAGCTTTTCCTGGCTGTGCTATGCTATTGATCGTACTGGCCAAGTCCCTGGGATCGTCTTTACATTTCTCTAGCTGGCCTAGTTTTAGTGTATGACGACATTTATGCTTTAAATGTGATTTATACATTCTGAATTTAACAGTCAGATTTGATGAGATCATTTGCCTGCGAGTCCATGGCCAGGGAATAGGTTTTGACTTCTTATGTAGCTGGATCTATTCATGTGTCTCTTTCTGTCTTGTGTACATCTAAACAATTCAGAATTGATTCACAGTAATGCCTTGACACTTACTGTACATTTGTCATCTTAGCAATGCAATAGTAATGCAAGTAAAATCATATTTTTGAATTGAAGATGCCTCATCCAGATCCGTAACTTAATACACAGACAACGGTAACGGTTGCCTGGCCAGGTGACAAACAAAGTGAAGGGAAAGTCTGTTCCATTAAAAGCACATTTCAGACTATCATACTTGTGTTTAATAAACAATTAACGAACTTCCACATCTTGGTCATAAAGCTAAGTTATTTAATGAAGGAAGTCCTGTGGGCTGATCTTTAGATTTAAGTCGAGTTTTTAAATGTGTTTTTTTAAGTTCTGGTCAATACTAACAAACTAAGATATCTGATCAACTGTGAATATTTTAGAACTAAATATTGATCACTAACAGATTAGAAAACAGTAAAATAGCACAGTGTTGCACAGTGATGTGTAAGGCTTTAAAGTAACATGAGTTCCCATGACTAAGTTCCCTCACTGTAAGTTAAAGCAGGAACAATATGGCCCTCGAGAGGAGCTCCTACACTGTCGCTCAAAAACAACCGGCCATAATGAGATGCAAGAGTTTCAGTTGAATGGGAAGCGGAGGGGAGAAGGAGGTTACATTTAGACTGTGGCCTGGACAGAGACCTAATAGCTCCATGTGGTCGGGCTGGTTGGCCACAAAGCCATGCAGAGAGACAGGAGTGGAAACCAACCTTAAGGAGAATCATATTTAGGCTGACCTCAGACACTGACAAATAAAACACATTTTGAATAAATGGAATGAACCACAAAAATGACAAAAACATGCTCTTTGAACTGAGTGTTTGGAGCAAGTGTGCTGTAGCTTAGTGTCAGACGGTTTGCTAACACTACTCGACTGTGTAAATCCTCCATCTGTGGGGCTGTTGTCAGGAGCAGCTGTGACTTTGGGTGAAGCGAGGTTAAGGCTGGTGAATCTACCTCTTTGAGGTGGTCCGCGCTGCCCCAGGAGGCTGACCGCTGGTGAGGACTTCCCTGTTCTGCTCCCTCATCAATCCACAGACCCGGAGTCTGAAACACATAAATACACATTGTCACAAAACCGCATGTTACACAACTCAATTGAATTTCCTCCAACACAGACACAGCTCTTCTGATACATGCTCCACGTGAACTGTAGGACCCTGTGGCCACCAAGAAGCATACAGTATCTATCTATGTTGCACATGCTCACAAAGATAAGTATCTCCTTGAAAGCCTAGCATAAACTAACCTGCAGTTTCTGAGATTTGTTTGCATGGCAGGGTGGCCTAATGTTTACAGAGATCAGAAAACAAAAGGTCACAATGGAGTCCTTGTTGAGTCTTGGTGCATGTGCCCATTACAAATGTTGTGGTATGAAATGTCTTTATATGTACATGGTTGTCATGAATGTGTTTGCACAATGAAATACAGTTAGGATCAGTGATATATATACACACACTAGTTTTTAGCTATTTCAATTCAGATATACTTAAAGTAAACAAAAGCTTAAAGACGTAAGACCTTTCTAAAAATACTGAGAAAGGTGTTGATAACCCAATAAGATGACCTCACTGTGTGCCTCAGGGTGTGAGCATCCACCAAATTCCTTAAACCATTTGGCTAAACAGTTGAGAAAGATGTGGTTGAAAGCAGAAAGGAGTGCCGTGTGCTCAAAGTAAAACTGAAAGTCTGGAAACAATGACATTGAGGAAAACAGTCATGAGATACTCTCCCTCGGGAAATAACTCAATTAAACAGGAAAAACAAAAGTCATAGCATTTTTGATTGATTCCATTAGTAAGCCTGGTAAAGACAAATACATCAGGGCCTGGATATAAAAACATTTCTTTATGTAAGGACTAAACCAAGAAACCCAGGTTAACCTTGTTCAAATCAAATCAAGGTTTATTTATAAAGCACATTTAAAAGCGATTTTTGGTCGGGCCAAAGTGCTGTACATGTAATAACTACAATCACATAAAAACACATTTCCATAATCACAATAAAAGACAATAAATTACAACAGATATTGTTACAAGGACTTCACTATTAGCTGCTGCTGGTCTCCAACTTTTCACCTTAAGTAAGTCTATAAATAAGTTAGAACTATTTAGCCTATACACACACAACTCTGATTTGGCAGATTATGTACAGCACAATGCTAGGTTTAGCCTAAATCAACAAGTCTACAGAGACATGTTGTGTCATCACCAATGAAAAGAACATCTGATATACAAACCATTCCCTTTCAGAGAACATACAGGCAGTTCTCTCTCACTGTCTTTTAGACCTCTTCTGCATAAACAAGGAAACGGTTAAGTTATGTAAATATATGCAAAAACAGAAACAGACTGAGAATGCTTCATAGCCTGAAACCACATACTTCCCCCTGATTATGCATATCAACAGTTCCTCAAACAGACCCTCAAACATCTGACGTTTTATAGTCAGCACAGCTTACGAAACATCTTAAATGTCAGTGTCTTCACACTGCCTTATGTCTGCCCCCACACTAACAGAAAAACCTCTCTCCTACTGAGGCACAAACCTTGCCCTATGATATGGAATATCACACTGTGAATAATGAGGAACACCCGCATGAAGCCGTTAGCGCTGGATAGCTTGCGCTGGTTTGCCCAGAAAAGGACAGCGGATGAAATGGGGGCTTGTGCTCTCATAAAGAGCCCACTGTGCCTGGCCACGCTGTATGGCAGATGTGTAGCTAGCCTTTAGCATTAACATTTTGAGCATGGCCTATGCAGTGGCTTGTGCTGTTTGATGCCTCTGCCAGGCATTGACGGAGTGGATGCTGCAGCTTAGTCTGTTCATTCAGAATGCAGAATGCTGCAAAAGGGCAGACGGGCTTTGTGGAGCTGTGGACTTTGCTGTTGAGGAAAAACTAAGTTCTCACAGATGTTCAATGACGTCAAATAGGGAATGCAACTTGCTACTTGTAACTCAATGAAATGTGAGACGCTTTCAATATGGCAGTAAACGAGAGCTGCAAAAATACTGGTAATAATAAAAAACATAGAATCAAAAGAAAAAAGGGCTCAAGGTAGTTATTCACAAGTGGAATGTTTCTTCATCTCCGAAAGTTCCTGTTTTTCAACTTCATAAGCCCTAAATCAAATAAATCATTTTTAACTTAACATATCGCAATGATGTGTGCTTAGTGTTAGTGGTGACCGCAGCTTTTAGTGCAAACAACTTAACAGCTAATGAGAACAAAGGAGGTGAGAATAATCCCTGCAACTAGTTCCCTGGTTGTTAAATCAATTCCAAACACTTATTGTTTTAGACATAACATTTTACATTTTATACATGAATCCTTGCTTTTGTTTAAAGTCTTAAGAAAGCTAATGCATGCCGAGATGTCTCGGGCCATAGGTGTCAATATAAGGGCAACACTTTTCTTTATAGTAGATATTTCAGTTTGCAATAAATGACTTATTTCCACCCAGATATAGAGAGTAAAACAAGACGGTTCAAATACTGCAGGTTATCTTAATTGACGCTCTTCTTCCCACACAAATGGTCTGTTAACAAGAACACCCACCTCTATTTACCTCAGGGGCCTTTTTATCATGCTAGCTCTTTAACTTCCGTCCCGAGATGTGGGCTGTGGAGACGTGTGTACCGGGTGTTGTTCCTGATAAGGCACTCCCCTGCAGATAAAACTGTTACCGTAGCCTGCAGCTTGCTTCCCATTAGGATTCCTCCTCAAAGGGTTACATGCAGGCAACATCCTCAAGAATCCAGTTCTGTTCCAAAGCAGGAAATAATGACTGGGCTACATCAGAATGACAGTGGAATTTGTGTTAGATTAGCTTAGAATGCATGCCGGGACATGAGAGCAGCCACTGCCATCACTTGAGGGTGTTCAGAGGCCAAATGGGGTCTGGTGTCGTTCCATTATGAGGAGGATTAGCTGGTCACTTTTTAATTAGCAAAAGGGGAATGACAAAACACCTGCATATATTTGAGCAACTTGGCAAGATGACAGGAAAATGCTGAAAACATAGTAGTACTTCAGTCAACATGTGTGTATTTGACTTAGGTATAGTATCATGATGTGTTTACATTTAATTTATTCAAGTTGACAGTAATTAGAAAGAGATTTTTTCAAAGCAATATATAATACATTTTTGAGAGGGACCTGTAAAACCTGCATTTGTGGCCACATGTGTTTGGCTCCAAAGTCCATAGCAGACATCTTCTCCTTTGATATTCCAGTCCTATAAAAGAGACAGCTAAAGCAGATTTCCATTGGCGTGAAAAACGGTTTGTTTGTCTTTTTGTTTGGTTTTTCAGATTACAAATGCAGATGGCCGATAAATTATTTCCTCTCACGCATTTTCAGAACTCAAAATGCCTCTCTGTGGTCAGCTTGCCATCACCTGTAGTCTTTGTGTTGTGTTTCAAGTGCAATTTTTAACACAAACTGCGAGGAGAGGCAAACTATTTGATCAGTCTGCCTTTGTCGGTTCTAGTTCTTTGAGGTCTGCGTGGTTTGTCAGGGCCCTAATCTTCATACAGACATTCTCTGTGTTCTGAAACCACAGGGCCTAGGGCACACAGACCTAGCCCGGAACAGTGATTAGCATATGTATGGACCCTCTGCTCCTCAACTCCCACACAAAAGGCAGGCGAGCCGTGCAGCCACGAGGGCCAGGTGGTAAGCAGTGGGATTTCTCTCGACTCAGCCGTGGCCTGGGGGACAGGTGCAAACAACTTCACCTCCATGCAAGGCTACATAACGGCTCAAAGGAGAGGCTGTCTTGAACTTGAGCAATGAGCAACAAAAGAGGCCAGGGACCTTTTGTGTGCTGCTCTCTGCTGTTGTCGTCTTATGGAAAGAGTTTTGCCCAGGCATAGCTTTGTAACAGGAAGTGGTCTCTCACTATCCTTGGGGGAGTTTAATCGCACAAGGATTGTCAAGTGTGTCACACTCCTCCACATCATTACAACATGGCTAAATGTTTTCACATCTCATATTTCCACAGCTCTGACGGATATAAATCTCTTAAACTTTGTTTTCGTTCAGGTCCGCCTTCAATCAGGTCTTTGCTGATAAGGCTGGAAAAATATGGTCAAATGTCACAATGTGGCAAAAAAAAAGGGTCTACAAAATCACTGGCCAAATGTTTATTCTGCAATAACCTTTTTCAAGGCCTGATAATTATGAAATAGATTCTCCATACTTGTCCTGTCTTTGCAGTACTGCACAGGAACCCTGTAATAAGAGGTATTTACTCTGCATGCATACAGCCACTTCAAGAGATCTTGTAGGCCCTCACACCACTTCCTCAGCCAACACACAAAGAAATGTGAGGCAAATGACGGGTTAAAAGGAATGAAGCCCATGTAAATTAGGCTTGGCAGGCTTCATTCAGACACATGAAAGGCTTCTTTAAGCAAAGAGGGTGCAGCCCTTGTCATGATCATGCATAGTCAATATTCTTTCATGACAGAAACCCACCAGACACCAACACCCGCCAACAAATGTACTTCTTAGAGGAAAAACTGCATCTAGGCAGTCAACAGGGCACGATTAGTGAGCTGCTTTCCAGGAATACTGTGGCGATGTGAATTAGGAAAACCATGTCTATGCCTTATGAAGTATTAGCATTTATTAAAAGGTAGTGCTTTGAGGACATTTCAGTTACTGCAAAGTCCACCAGATAATCAAAACAAAACCTTTGTCCACATGGTTTAAATACGTCTCCTTGACCTAGCACTGAAACAGAAACAAACAGTTACATTGAAGTCTTAACTGCCATTATGTTCTGTGAGAAATGAAAAGTGAATGTGGAATTTGGGGATGTACCAGACACTGTGGACAAGTTGTGAGCCATATGGCCATATTCAGATACGTTAAGGTATTTTTTCTATGTCAAACTAAGATAATTTATTGCAAACCATATTTGGTAAAACGCTTTAAACTCAGGATATCACACTGTGTGAAACATGCTTTACTCAAAACCAAAATTACAATATGATGACTCATCAATCGTCGCGCATCAGTCATCACATCAACAATTCAAAGATGACGGTGGTGATGGTGATGGCTCCATGATGACTACACACACGTGGCCTTTTAGTGATGTAGTGCTTCTTCCCTTTGTCTGTGATTTCTTCAATCTGGAACCATGGACGCTGCAGTCACTTGGCACGCTCCTTAATATTAACATTATGAATTTGCTTTCCAAGGCTACAGCAGCTAAGACTCATGGATGCTACTGCTTAGAGGCACCCATGATAATCAGTTAACATTTGAAAAAAGTCGAGGCTACTCCATGAGTCACCAGGATTATTACCTTATCTTTGGGAGTCCTATATTTCTTTGTTTAATAACATTAACATATCATTTAAAACATTTGTATGTACCTGTGTGGCTTTGTCTTTCATACAGGAGGGGTAGGGTCCGTGGGAGTCCCGAGGCCACTGGCCGGTGAGGTACGGCCCTGTGATGGCGTCCAGTGAAGATGTCCGCCTGATGGCACTGGAGCTTCGAACCTGTAACTTGGACCTTTCTGCTGTGAAAAGAACAAAGTGATGGGGTGAGACACAAGCACCCACGCAGGCATCAGCACCAAGAAGGACAAACTCCCAGAGGCATCAACATACAGTGTGATCAATCTCTCAGTGCAAATAATTAGCCAAGGACTCTGGGCCATACAAGTATAATGGTTTACATTGTTGGCAAATAATCATGTTAAACCTGAAACAAAACACAATGGCATAATCAAAGTCGTTCTGACAAAATGTGTTTTTTGTAGTTGGCCTAGTTTCTTTGCCTGTGGTAAAGTTCTAGCACAAACGGGATTGTGTGTAAATGTTTACTTTGCAAAAATAGAAATATATTTCCGTCAATCACAGAATGAAATACAGTATAATCAACACTTCACCTTGAATACTGCAATGTACAGTTAATAATGGAGATAAAACCGTATACTGCAAACCCTTCTTGTTCTCAAAGTGTGGACAATTGTTTCTAATCTCTTAAGTATTAGTTGAGGGCAAACAACAGGCTTGAGAGCTAAGGCCTGAAGCAAATGTAAATGGCTGAGCAGGAGCATCTGATGTTATGAGAGCAGTCTGCTGTGAGCCAGAACAGTTAACCACACACCACCCACATAAGAACTCATAAACAACCACACCACAATGCACATCAAACCTGCCTGCATCCACTCAACATTCCTGCAGTGACACGCACAAAAAAAAAAAAGAGAGAAAAACAAAATACGCAATACCAAAGGTTGAATAGCATGATAGTGCAGTAACAGTTGGATTAAATGCAATAGCCTCAATTACACTTTGTGTGATTCCCAGAAGAAAATGCTCCTTCATTTCCGTATCAAAGACAGACAAAAAAGAGATAGCGCCATGAATGATTTTGAGGAAACATTGACTCCATTCCCTGTCTGAGTAGGTTTAAGCAGAGGCCCTTCCAACGTGAACACACAGACTAAACTATCTAGATGAGGCACCCCTCTCCTTGCAGAACTACATAGCCATCATTGTTGTTCTTTGTTCACAGAATACACGGGCCTACCCACCCAAAGGTATTGCCTAAGTAAGCTTACTGGGCTACAGTAAAATTCCCTGAAGCATTGTAGACAAAGGAAGCAGGCTAAATGTCCATCAATATTGATACAGGCCAAGCCAGTGCTCTCAGAACCAGGACTGGGGTTATTTTCCATCGTCTCCCCACTTGCCAAAATAGAATAATCTTGTGATGAGAAAAAAGAAACGGTGAGAAAGAAGACATCAAAGCAGTCCATCTGCTGATTTCAGGGGTACATGAGTGGTGTTGTGTGACATTAAAAATGAATACTTCTGGTTGCATTTGAATAAGAACTTTCCTTAGCCGGGCATTCAGCAAGCTGTGAAAGAGTCCCTGCCTTCAGAGGGGATAAACGGGTGGTTTATTAACTGTAGAGCAGAGGCAAATGTGAAAACAAACATGTGGTCCAGATCAGTAAACCATAGCAGAATGGTTTCCTGTAGGTTTTCACAAGTCTGGTTGAAAGGAAAAATGTACAATAGTTTAACTTCATCTTGTGATCACAGTTGTAACAAAAATCACGTTTGGTATCCCAGAAATGCTCAATGAAATTAGAGCAGGATTAAAGGATTTAGGGGTTCATTTTAGTTTATCCATTAGCTAAAGCTGGTAGGTCTCATATGCAACCTATATTTACATATGGAGATGGTCTTGGACATGTTTTAATTCAGTCGGAAATGCTCAAACTAGCAACAAAACATGCAATCGATCGCCCACCCTCAAGACAGTGCAAACGTGGCCAGAAGAGGTGCAAGACGGAAATCTAAACAATTAATACAGTGTCCGAGTATACTTATACTTAGGGCTGTGCAATTAAATCGTATTTTAATCTCGATTACGATTTTGGCTTGCAACGATTACGAAAACAACGTAATCGAAATAAAACGATTTTTTTTTTTTTTTTTTTTTTATTATTATTATTTTTTTTTTATTGTGTTTTCAGTTGAATTATACTTAAAGTTTAGGGTAATCAACTGTTAAAAACATACAAAAAACTTTTTTTTTTGCAATAAATTGATGTTTTCAAAGTAAATGGATAATCGTTTTTAATAATCGTGATAGCAATTATTGACCAAAATAATCGCGATTATGATTTTTGCCATAATCGAGCAGCCCTACTTATAAAGGACTAAAACTAGTTATTTGCCATGGTATTAATATTCATCATACTTTTTACTCTAATATATAGAATACTGATACAAGTGGCATGATTATTGATTCTGTTCATATGTATGATACTGCGCGTTTATTTACAATGCCCTATCACTAAACTATGATTAGAGGACTGTCTTTGTAATTTGTAGCTGTAATAAGAACAGTGACTGCAATATGAATAATGATCCCATGAACTTATAAAGTTATGAGTTCAGCATCTGTCTCTCAGCTGTTCAGAATATGGCTAGTGAGCATTCTTAGCAGTTATCAGTCAATGAGTCCAGTGGGTACCTCCCACAACAGGCTATGTATCTCAATGGGCGATGAGGGTATGCTATCAATGCTAACGATTTCAACTTTTACCACTGAGAAGAATCCGAAAACTTAGCATCAAGTTTGAGGTTCAACCAGATGTTGTGCAGGGTTGGTTGATAAAACAACAGAAAACACTGCACATTTCCACATGTGGTCCTACTCTGCAGTTTGAATGTGTGACAATGAAGCAGGGCTGTTTCAGCACAGCTGGCACTTTGACAAAGAGCAGGACTATCATTGTTGGGACAGTGAATGATGTCATGCTGGTGAACCTAAAAAGTCATGATATGGAATATTATACTAGGGGTATGCAAACAGCATGTACAACAGCATGTCAATTATATATTTTTTGTATTAGCCATGTAGAAAAGCTTAAAAGAAAAGTTTCCTTGTTCCTGAATATTGGCAAAAATCTCAATATGTTGTGTATGTAGGTCACTTTCTGGCGCTAACATAAATGATATTGCACGGCATTTTGGACCCACCAAATGGCAAGCATTATGTCTTTGGGTGGGTCCAAAATACTACAATGAATGATATATTACAAAGCGCAAATCCTCCAACTTCGTTTACAAGCTGGCATGAAGTGATGAAAGATGTTAATGACTAAATCATGTTTGCAATTTTTTTAATGCTAGTAGCCACCAAACCCACACTGATATGATCATAGTCCTCATCAGAGGCCTCTCGTGCATGTTTGTGTGAGGTCACGGCAATGAAGCCGGGTCAAGTCTCCATCATCACCACTAACATGAGACACTGGTCTGGGTGAGAGGTCGTCCTTTCAGAGGATTGAGGTATGCGTGGCATGCCACTGGGGTGGGAAATCAACACCAACCACTAGGCAAACACGGGTGAAATGTGTCGTGCCTGGTAGGTCTAAGCACTCAGTTGTTATGGAATAGACTTCCTTTCCTGCCTTGCATGGTACACTGGTCAAGGTTGGAGGTCATCTCTTTCAAAGAACTGAGGAATGTGAAGCATGTCACAAACATACAATTCCAAATTAAACACTATCCTGTATGATACAAGAGGGCAGCACTTTTGGCTAAGAGGTAAGAGGGAGAAACATTTAGACATGACTAATGAAGCTTTGATCAAGCTGGTGCAATGTAGTTGTCTCGTGGTGTGTTGCAATATGGGACCTAAACTAACTAAGTACAGAACACTCTCGTGCGGAGTATATATCTGGTGCTTTTCATGGGAACTGGTGTGGTGTCCGAAATGCCCACTCAGGTTTTCAGTCCTAAAAGGAATCTCTTCTTATCTCAAAATACTGAAAAACAAGCTGTTTATTCTTTGATGAAGAAATGTAGTTCTGGCCTTCAAAAAGATACCGCTACCGGTCTGTAAATTAAGCTACAACATCAATATATGGCAAAAAAAAGGCTGTCCCATAAAGGAGATTTAGTGGAAGACTGTGAAATGCAGATCCAGGGCTGCCTGGACTCTCGTGTCTTTCTTCAGTTTGTCTCTATATCAGATCCAAAAAGCAGCTAAGCATGACATGACACGACATAGCACAGACCTCTGTTATCCACGTGGAAGAGAACATGGTGGGGCTCAACAGATGTTCTGAATGTGCCATGAGTGCTCCATGCTGCATCAATGGAGTGAGGTCAAAAAAAGCAACACCTGACTTTTCACTCAGCGCTCTGACTACTGGGACTGACGTGGCCCCTTTATACAACTGAAAGCATGCCTTTCTGCCAATGCTCTCCTCCCCCTCTGTCCTGTCAAAAGTCCATGGGAAATAAGAGAGCCAAAAGTGCAATCTATTCTCTTTATGATTGTCAAATGGTGTAAGTGGGTGATAGGCTGAAAAGTTAATGGATCAACGTTCTGCAAATCAAGAGCCTATCATGCTCCAGACTTACCCCTTCAAATATAATAGTTTATCTTATTCTCTATTGAAATATTCTAATGAAAATTCAGATCGATATCTTCGTCACAGGAAAGTTACTATGACAAGTTATATCTTGCCAACAGCACATGGTGGTGACATGGTATTTACTGGCCTTTGTAGGATAAAATAGTAAAAGAAAATAGATTTTACCTCTGGAAACCGGAGAGTCTGGGGGACAGGAGGAGTCCTTATTTTCGGGGGACAGTCTTTGCTTAGCATTTGCACTTCCCGAAATGAGTGAGGGACTGGAAGGGGGACTGGAGCCTCGGCTGTTCGTGGTTCCACCGTAAAGGGTCTGCGACCCCCGCGTGGGGCTGCTCGGACCCCCGCGCAGGAGCTGGTAGGGCACGGTGGCTCGGATGGGGTGCAAACGGCAGCTGCTGCTGCTGCTGCTGTTGTTGTTGAAGGAGCCGGGGGAGCCCGCATTGCTGCGTCTTACCCTCGGCTGCTGGAGCGAGTTGCTGGGGGCTGACATCCTTCGAAACTGGCTGTAATTCCTATCACAGGAAGAAAGACGTACTGCCAAAGTTGCTGCTTCTCTGGAGGAGGAGGTGGTGTTGGGGGAACGGTAAGATAAACATTAGCTAGTTAGCAACAAAAAACGTTAGCTTCCTTTTTTTAAGTCAACTCATGCGCTCAAAAGGACAAAAACTCGCAATTGTTGGTGATAACTTACCTGTAAGATACTAACACATGACGAACAACTACAATAGTAACTTTAAAAGTTGTTTATGATACTTCTTGAGACGTTTAATTCTTGTTTTCAAGCTCTCTTCCCCATCATGTCCACTCACTAAATGACAGTTGTTACCGCTAGACTACTGGCTGTTGCCTGTGGGCGGGCTACGCTACTAATTTCTGAGCTTCTCATTGGATAGTGACGATGTACAGTAACTTCGCTGATTGGTGCAAGTATGTCTATGGATCGTACTTTCATCCAATCAGGTAAGAAATGTCTTACTAGTGTGGAAAGTTTTTTTTGTTGAGGAAATTGAGATGTGAAAGATATCCTTTGATTTTACTCTTTACCATTGCACCAGTGTATTATTTTTTTACAATGTACAGAAACGGCCTTATTTGAGACGTAGTATGTTGCTCGTCATTGTGAAAAATACAGTTGAGGATGCCCATTGTATATGATCTGTACCTTTTAATCATAATTACAATATAATTATTCAGCAGATGGTATTACAAATGTAAATGTTCAAATTATTTTGTTTTCTATTGAACACTACTAACTTCAGTGATTCACACTATATATGATAAATAAATATATGAATGATAAACATGTATTTATTACAGCATTGTATACACAGTTCACAGACATCGTTTGACCTGTAGAATCCACGCTGTACAATGTTCTTTCATAACTACTTATATATTTATTTGCTTATCTTTGATAAGCCTGTGTAAGCTTGATCAAACAAGACCACCAAGGTTGATTTATATTGAGAATGTTGATCAACTTTGTTTTTTAAGGTCAAGACTAAGAGTGAATTTCATTGTAACATCAACCAATATGGAGCATTTTTTCCGCATACGCCACCTGCTGAGAAACATAATGAGACTTAAAGCTCTGCAACATCTACTAATGAACCTTGAGGTAAGATTGCGTTGACACAAGCTGTTCAAACTCAAGAATGAATTTTCAATCTAATAAGGAGATGTATTACTTGCCTAGTTCCGAGGTCCAAAATCTATTGTTATGCAATGCTGTCCTTCCTTCTGCCTGCACTGCTCCGTGATTCTGTGGGAGTTCCCATGGGAGAATAATGTGACTCAATGCTTTCAAGCAAAGATAAAGAATGCACATGATAGAAACCCCACGCCATCTGTCTATGAAACTGATAATGTAAAAATAAACCATGGAAAACAACCCATTCAGCAGTGCTCCAATTTGTCAGTCGGAATTTATTTAAAAGAAACACTGAAAGGGTGAAATTCCAGCCACCCTGTTTTTTGGGACGCAACACGGCTCGCCAATTTGTCAGCTACACTCCAAAATAGTTCACAAAAGGGCACGCAGGCCTATAAAACCTCCCACACCGGGAAGAGATCCTGGTGAAAGCAGTATACAGTAGCTCCTGTGCACCCTCCTCCTCCTCCTCCATGACTAAGTGATTTAGCCAGGTCTGGTGCAGGCCGCCTCTCACTAACAATGCCTCCCTACGTTAGTGACAGAGCGGGGAGGGTGGCAGAGAAAGAGAGTAAACCCATTTACAATGCGGCTTACACACGGCCGTCCCCCCACAGACGGCACCCATCCTTGGATTGATGTGTGGTGTGCATAGTTTTTGGGTGCAATTTGGGCACCACAGAGGGAGAAAGAAAGAGAGGGCAAGTCTGTGTATGTCGAAGGCTATACGAGGGGGGTCCAGGGCTCAGGCTGTCTGTTCTCTCGCCCTTTCTTTGAGTCAATAGTGTTCCGGCAGCTGAGGTTCTTTATGGGGGGAACAATCTGGAGGGTCTTGTTAGAGTGCCGAGCAGCTGCTGTTTTCTGGCGAGCTTCTTTCATGGACCACAGGCCTGGAGTCTGCTGATGAATACAGACGCACCCTCCCACCCTTCCTCCTCATCACCCTTCACCCCCTACCTTATCCCATTCCCCATCCTATACCCCATAACCACCCCTCACACTGGAAGCCATCCCGCACAATGCCAGATGAAGAGTGGCACAGAAGAACATAAAGAGAGTGTGGCTCCGGCCCCCGGGGGACCGCCCTTCACCCCGGACAATGCTTTCATGAGGTATGTGAAGATACTTTCTTAAGACAAACACAGACGTTAAAAAGTGTATTAAAATTAAATATATCTTGGACATCTTTACAAGTTGAAATGTGATTTATTTTATTAGATGACATTAAACCATAAGCCTGATTCAGGTTAGATTGGAAGAGGCCGATTACAGCAGAGCCTCTGTCTTTCTCCTGAGTGATATTTACATTAGCAGAGCAGTGAGTTTGCATTTGCTCCCTTTCCATCTTTGATTCAGTTAGTAAGATCAGTAACACACACACACTGCCTCCCTTCTTCATATAGGGCTCAGTTACAACATTACATTCACTAGACTATAACTTAACAGCGTCCCATTCTATTTAAGCAGCTGCTGCAGAAAAAGGACCCTGCTTGCACCCTTCGTCCCTTGCCCAGTTGTCGGTGTGGTGGGTGTAGCAGTAAACCCACGCTGGTTGGCTTTGGGCGGGTGTTGGACTTCACTTTCCGACAAGCTTCTCCTGTTTAGCTGCTGTCTGAAGGCACCAGGTTCCCTGTGGTGTCCAGCTGCATGCATTTACACGTGCAACCAGACACTGGGCACTCTGTATGGTCTCTGTAAAAGACACATTAAGGTCAATAAAAAAAAGTGTAAATACAGAAGATGGCCAAAAGAGTACAGAAGGGCCTGGCAGGTAAGTGTACCTTTCATTCATCCATTTATTTGAATTCTGATATGACCATTTCAAATAATAAATCAGGCAATCTTTTAATTTAGCAGGATCCACACATGGACCTAACATTACAATTACTTTTAAAGTTAGGTGGTAATTTAGAACAGAAGTGATTTTATATCGAATTGCTTTGCCTTCCATAATAGTCACAGAGAGAATACATTATTTTAAAGAGAATGATGAAAGTGCTACACAACCGAAAGAGCAACGACTAGCTTTTATTTATTTTTAATTTTAGTTTACAATTTAAGGGCTAATGGACAAAAGGTACACGGACCATAGCAGGAAACAAGTTCACAATCCTGTCTGAAAAAAGCCACACATCTGCAGCATGTAGAGAGAGCTTACTTGAACCAGCTGAGCATGTGTCCTGCGTGGCCGCCATGACGACAGTTGTGACACCAGGTGAACCAGTTGTTGAACTGAGCGAGTTTGTTTTCCCTTGTCAAGTCCAACCTCTCGTCTGACTTCCCTGTTCCTGCCAGAAAAAAGTCAATATCAACAATCTATAAACTGTACTATCTATGTCAACTTAGTGTTCTGTCTGCTGCCGTCTGGCAGGCGGTACCGCAGCATCCGCACAAAAACCACCAGACTCAGGGACAGTTTTATCCCACAGGCCATAAGACTGCTAAACACCTGAGCTCTGTTAAGTGCCCTGATAAACATTTATGTTGTCATCTTGCAATATACTAATTTATATAAATAGTTATCACCGCAATGAACTGTATTTAATTTAGTCTTAATTTACATTATTTAATTTCATATTCTGTTCTTGTACATATCCCATATTCTATTGACAATAGACTTTTTGCACTACTTTTTATTTTGGTATTTTATTATATATGTTGCATTGTTGGAAGAGCTCAGGTCAGAAGAATTGTTTTGCTATTTCTATACTGTAGCTTTGTGCATATGACAATAAAACCTTTGAATTTGGATTAGTATGAGTAAAAGCAAAGCAATAAAGAAATAGGAACTGGATTGGCCACTGAACGTCCTGCCTCTTAATGCTGAACAAAGTCCACACAATCTGCCCTGCAAATGCTCAGTTAATTATAAACACTTAAGCTGCTTCAAGAGGCCTGCCTGCAAGTATCAACGGAGCATCTGTCCACATAGGTCAGTTTACCTGGGCAGTTAGAGACAGGTGTGCCCATGTTCATGAGGCAGAGGGCACAGCGTGGCAGCGGTTTCCTGCAGCCGGGGCAACTGGTGACTTTTGACTTGGTGGGCGAGCCGCTGACCCCGTACTGGCTGAATCCGCGGCCCTGATGAGGCATCGCCGAGCAGCTGTAGGAAATAGACTTGCCACAGAAGTTGCAGCTCACGAACACCTGTCGCACAAGAACAAACACAAAGGTCGGTTGATAAGGAACGGCGGACACAAAGGTAAAATCAACAAGCACACGCTCACCAGCTGTCTGATTTTCACTTTGAGGTGAGAGGAAGATAAGCATTAGATAATACTGCAATAATCCGAAAATGCTTAACTGTGAATATTGGAATGTCATTCGTGTAGTTAGTAGGTCGTGCTAAGGTTCGCTTTGTACTCATAATCGCACGTAGAAATATTTTGTGCAGTATGTGTACTAACTGGAACAGAGAGAATAACTAAGATTGTTGTGCTAAATAGAACAGGTTTTATGACAAGAATTGGAGAGCAGAGCAGTGGGTGTTACAAGCTTGGCACGACCTGCCTTTGCTGTAATAAACAGTACAAGCGTCCTATTTCATCATGAGGGGAGTAATATCCAAGACAGCAAAAAAACAGGACAGACGGCTTGTGTTTGTCAGGGCCCTATCACATTAAAGTCAAACATGCATTTTCAATCAAATACAAAAATATATTGCTGCATCTTTTGGTAACATTTTTTCTGATATTGTTTATCTTGAAACGGCCCGAAATAGTGAATATTGCTCTGGAAGAGTTTCAAGAGCCAAAGGAATGCTTTAAAAATTCCTTTCAACCTTCATTCACTTTCACTTAAAAGGTAGGTCATTCACTTCAGAAACACTTTTTGTTATATTCCATGGAATGCTCTTAACATCCCGATAGCAATGAATATATGAAGTGCTTTGACAATAAATACATTAAAAATGTTCATCTGTGGAAGCCGTAGTACTGTAAAAAGCACGACCAATCATTTTCACCGGCCCGGCTAAAATAACTGGATGGCCTACCTGCCTGTCAGCCTTCCATCTGTGCACAAACTTATCTCGTGCCCTCATTGGTCATGTGCACGTTCGTGTGTGTTGGAGGAGGGGCTCTGTAAGGAAGTCTGAAGGAAGGGGCAGATTTTTTTCGGCTGCGTACTTTCAAATTCTAGCGCACTCGAGCTGGTTTCTCCA